TTAATTAGTGTTCACATTGGAGATTTGAATGGATGGAGTAATCAAATTTAGTGGGGATTACTTGAAATGACGGTTACCACTAATTTTTCGATGATGCGACCCTGTTTTACGGGATACCCATTCCAAGGTGCATGTCTCTTCTCTAGGAAACGTAGATTTAAGTATCCTTGTTTTTTATATTATGTTTTTATTATTTGTCTTTTTCTTTTCACGGTTCAATTTTATCTTCGTTGTAATTGAATTTCGAATGATTGATTGGTATCAATAATTGTCATTAAAATTCGATAGGGGGGTTTTTTGTTTGCGTGTGTGTGTATGTTTATAATCTTTTTTAAAAGAATTTTCTTTCATTTGATGTACTTTTGGTTTTCTTAAAAAAAAAAAAGTCTAATTAATCGTTAGCCAATCTATGAGTTTAAAGTTGAAGTTGAAGAAGAAGAAAAATATAAAAAAAAAAAACACAATTGTTTTTATTAATACACGTACGAATGATGAAATAATTAATAATATAATTGAAATATTATTAAATAATGAATTTGAGATTAATGCACTATGTGAATTTGTAATTTTACCGTCGGACGGTTTCATTTGAAAATAATTCGATCAATTCGATGACAATCCGTTCAATAATTTTCTTTTGAAATTCAATACGAAGATAAATTGTTTAAAAAAAAAAAAAAAAAAAAAAAACCAAAAACCAATTGAATTTCTAAACAATTCTTTCTTTCTTTCATCGATAATTTGAGAAATGTTTGAATATAAAAAAAAGTGGAAAAGTAATTTAGCAATAGTTTTGTGTAAGAAGACAAGAATTTCATGAGTTATTAGAATTTATTTAAACAAATATATTGCAGTTTGTTTTTCTTTATTTTTTATTGGTAGATTCGTCATCTAATTCCTTTCTAAGTGTGCTAAGGTAAAATTGATTAATATCATTAATCTCTGTCTCAACAGAGATACACGGATAATTACGCATTTGAATAATATCCTAAGAAAAGAAGAAAAAAAAAACATTAGCAAAAGAGTTGGGAAAATAAAAAGGGAAAATCGATAATTAAAATCGATCGATATTTTGATAAATAAAAAAACCCCTCCCAAAAAAAACAAAAACAAATCAATAAAGTAATTCTAAACTAACATTAATACATTTAATTGAATGTTAATGAGAATTTGCAATAAATTTGTTGTAATTTGTAAAAATGTGAGGAATTGAAAAAGTAATAAGAGCCGTAGTTCCGATAAAACTTTTTCGATTTACATTGAATTGAAATGATGCATGATTTTCCTTATATAATCTTTCATGGTATTAAAATAATGTGCATCATCGATATTTTTCCATCATTATTAATGTTTCTTTTTTTTTTTTTGGTTTTATTATTTTATCCTCATTTCACGTGTAACAAGTTTAGTCATTTTTTGAAGGTACGATTCAACTAATGAAAAAGATTATTGACGAAATAATGAAATATTATTTTTCATATTTTAAAACGGAAGATAAAGTTGATTGATTTTTTTTTTTATAATAAAAATATTCCATAATATTAATGAATAATAAAGAAAAAAAAATATAATATAATATTTATTTATTTATTTATTTATTAATACAAATTTTATTATGTATTGCAGTTGAATTTATATTGGAATTGTATTATTAATAAATTAAACAAATTATAATATAATTTAAATAAATTAAATCGATATTTCAATAGATATTTTTTTGTTATTATAAGAAAAAAAAAATAATAATTAAACAAATATTTGCCAATTTTAATAAACATTTTGCGTGTAGGTGTGTTTGAAGTAAAAATATTCCATAACATCAGCTAACAAATAGTCTAATAATTACTGTTGTATAAATAAATAAATTAATTAATTAAATAAATATTTCAATAGATACTTTTTGATCTGATAAAAAAATAATTAAACAAATATTTGTCAATTTTAACAAACACTTTGCGTGTGTAGGTGTGCCCTGAACGTTTTCTTCTTTTATTGGAATTTTTGTTTCTTTCAACATTCCATTAAAATTCTTTTTTCTTTTTTTTTTTTGCATTAACTAATGATCAATTCAACTTAACTATAAATCTTCTAGAAATATCAAACGAAGAAAGATTGATACCTACTTTTTTTTTTTTTTTTTTTTTTATTCGATACGGTTTCGCATCGATGATCAGACTTTTCGTTCGTGGATTGTCATTGAAAGATGAAACTTTTCCATTCAATGCAACTAAGTTTTTTTTTCTTCTTTTTTTTTTTTTTCTTAGAATTAGTACACACAAACACACACGTACACATACACATAAATATTTATTCGATATGCTGGATAACTAATAAAATAAAAAAAAAAAAACATTCTTATTAATAATTCAAACAAGAATTGTGTGTGAATCAAACAAGATCCAAATAATCTTATCAATGATTATATTTAATTATTTTACAGTATTTCTTTCATTATATTTATTATTTATACAATCTTTTATAATATTAGAATAATTCAATTAATTTTATTCGAATTTGTTCTTTCTGAATAATTAATAAAAAAAAAACATTTTGTTAATAATTCAAACAAGAATTGAATCAAACAAGATCCAAATAATCTTATCAATGATTATATTACATTATTTTACAGTATTTAATTAATCAACTAATTATTTATACAATCTTCTAATATTAGAATAATCCAATTAATTTGATTCGAATTTTTCTTATTGATTTTCTCTCTCTCTCTCTCTCTCTCTTATTCTTTGTATTTTGTTCTCTCTTTATCTGTACTAGTAATAAATTCATTTTTTCTTAGTATTTTTTTTGTTGCTGTTGTTTCATTTTAATGTTAGCCATTTGCATTGTTCATTCTGCATATACACGGTAAGAAAGAGAGGAAATAACTTTCGATTAACGAGCACTATACTAACTCGTGTTCTAAATTAAAAAGTCTATACACATACATGCATATACAGACACATACAGACACGTGAGTTGAGAGTTAACTGCTGCAAGAACGGATCGTTGTAAGAAACTTTATATATTTCTCTGTTTCTTTCTTTCTTTCTAATTTTATTTCACCTTCTTAACTGTTTTATTTCAGCAAGCAATGTCGTTATAGAGAACGTTCGTGTAAATCGAAATTAAATAAGCCAAGGAAATTATACGCTATCATTATTGCGAGTAATAAACCATCAGCTCTTGGTTTAGACTTATCGTTGGTCAAATGTATTATAACTATAGTCTTTTGTATGCTCTTGTACTCTTATTACCCTTTTTTTTCTTCTCTTTTTTAATCTTTCCATTCTTTTCTTTTCTTCGTAAGTGAGAAATAAAAAAGTATGAATGAATGAATGATTGAAAGAAAGATAGGTAGAAAGAAAGATAGAAAGAAATATATATAGAACAATGATATTAAGAAAAGGTGCAACACAACTAACTTGCATTATATAGAAAATTTCTTATTCATTATTTAATATATATTTTTAATATTTTTAATATTTTTTTTAACTTTCAATATTTAAAAGAACAATATTTTATTTATATTATTATTATTTTAAATTAATGTTTGAAAGAAAGAAAGAAATATGTAGAACAATAATAAGAAGAAAAGGTGCAACACAACTAACTTGCATTATAGAAATATATTGTTTATAAATTATTTAATATATATTTTTAATATTTTTAATATTTTTTTAACTTTCAATATTTAAAAGAACAATATTTTATTTATATTATTATTATTTTTAATAAATAATTGAAAGAAAGAAAGAAATATGTAGAACAATAATAAGAAGAAAAGGTGCAACACAACTAACTTGCATTATAGAAATATATTTTTTATAAATTATTTAATATATATTTTAAATATTTTTAATATTTTTTTAACTTTCAATATTTAAAAGAACAATATTTTATTTATATTATTATTATTTTAAATAAATAATTGAAAGAAAGAAAGAAATATGTAGAACAATAATAAGAAGAAAAGGTGCAACACAACTAAGTTGCATTATATGGAAAAATTTCTTATTCATTATTTAATACTTATTTTTAATATTTTTAATATTTTTTTTAACTTTCAATATTTAAAAGAACAATATTTTATTTATATTATTATTATTTTAAATAAATAATTGAAAGAAAGAAAGAAATATGAAGAACAATAATAAGAAGAAAAGGTGCAACACAACTAACTTGCATTATAGAAATTTATTTTTTATAAATTATTTAATATATATTTTTAATATTTTTTTATCTTTTAATATTTACAAGAACAATATTTTATTTATATTATTATTATTTTAAATTAATGTTTGAAAGAAAGAAAGAAATATATAGAACAATAATAAAAAGAAAATGTGCAACAACAACAACAACAACAACTATAACCCCCCATTAAAAATTTTTCTATAAATTAATTGATATATTTTAAATGAAATATATTTTTCAATATTAAAAAAAAAAAACAATATTTATTTTTTAAATGATAATTATTTTGAATAAATGATGAAAAGAAAGAAAGAAATAGAACGATAATAAAAATAATTGTGCAAAACAACTTGCATTAGAAATTTGTTCATAAATTATCTACATTCAAAAATTAATAAGATAAAAAATAATATTTTATTTATCTATATATATATTATATTATTTGTTCTATTTAGAATGTTATAAATTGAATCTAACAGATCTAGGATCGATACCAGGACAGGGCCGTGTCAATCAATTAGGTGGAGTTTTTATCAATGGTCGTCCATTGCCAAATCATATTCGATTGAAAATAGTGGAATTAGCTGGTGCTGGAGTAAGACCATGCGTTATTTCAAGGTAAACTTTCTCTTAATTCGAATGACAAACAATAATAATAATAATAATAATAATAATAATCAACATGATGATCATCATTATCATCATATTATCAATTGTTTCGTATTATTAGATTTATTTATAAATCAATTAAATATAATCAAACCGACACAAAATCATGAAATATTCTAAATTATTGTGTGTCTATGAAAATCCTTTCTTTTTTTTAAATAAATTAAAATATAATTAAATGAAAAAAACAAATCATAAAAATGATGTAACTTTGATAGGCAACTTCGTGTATCACATGGTTGCGTATCGAAGATACTGAATCGTTATCAGGAAACAGGAAGTATAAGGCCAGGTGTCATCGGTGGTAGCAAACCTAGAGTAGCAACACCTGAGATTGAGGCAAGAATCGAGGAATACAGGCGTGAAAATCCGGGAATATTTTCATGGGAGATAAGGGATCGTTTGATCAAGGATAATGTTTGCGATAGAACTGCTGCACCGAGTGTATCGGCTATTTCAAGATTGCTACGTGGTCGTGATAACGATGAAGAAGCTAAACTTGGTGATTGTAAGTTAATTAATGAACATAATCTTCACATTTTATTTTTATTTCATATTTTTTTGTTTTTTTTGTTTTGTTTGTTTGTTACATGAATTGCGTTCAATCATTATTATTTGTGTGTGTGTGTGTTTTTTTTTTTATTTAATAGTTGAATATGATATTCAGAATTTTGTGGATGATTCAATAAGATGTTTAGTTCAATAGGAAGAATTTTATATTTAAATAAATTATTCAATTTTATATAAGATTATTAGGTCAAATTTTTTTTTTTAATTGCAATTAGCATATTTAATTTATAACCTTTTTATTGTTTATTATTTTTATTATTTTTTTATTATCTAACAATATTTTAATTTAGTGTAGTGTTGATTATCAATCATTGTGACTACGATCTTAGTATGATACAACTTTGTTATATCACATAATTTATTTTTTTATATTAATCTAGTTTTTTTAATAGCAATTAGAATATTTAATTTATAACCTTTTTATTGTTTATTATTTTTAATATTTTTTTATTCTTTAACAATATTTTAATTTAGTGTAGTGTTAATTATCAATCATTGTGACTACGATCTTAGTATGATACAACTTTGTTATATCACATAATTAATTTTTTTATATTAATCTAGTTTTTTAAATTGCAATTAGAATATTTAATTTGTAAACTTTTATTGTTTATTATTTTTAATATTTTTTTATTCTCTAACAATATTTTAATTTAGTGTAGTGTTAATTATCAATCATTGTGACTACGATCTTAGTATGATACAACTTTGTTATATCACATAATTTATTTTTTTATATTAATCTAGTTTTTTAAATTGCAATTAGCATATTTAATATCTATAATCTTTTTATTTTTTATTATTACTAATATTTTTTTAAAAATATTTTTACTTAGTAGTATTGAATATCAATCATTGTGACTACGATCTTACTATGATACAACTTTGTTATATCACATAATTTATTTCCTTCTATTAATTTCATTATTTTTTTATTCTAATTAATACTATAATTAATTCTAATATCTATAAACTTTTTAGTTTTTATTACTTCTAATATTTTTTTCTTAATATTTTAACTTAGTAATATTGAATATCAATCATTATATCTAGGATTTACTTCGTCGTATCACATAATTCATATTCTCCTATTAATCTCATTATTATTTTTTTTTTTTAATTAATACTATAATTAATTCTAATATCTAATCTTTTTAGTTTTTACCATTCCTAATATTTCTTTTTTCTTCTTCTTAATATTTTAACATAGTAGTATTGATTATCAATCATTTGTATTACAATAATACAACTCCTATAATTATTATTACCGTTTTCACTTTGTATACGATAGTTTTTACTGAACATTTTTTTGTTTTGTTTTTGTGTTTTATTACTTTGAAGAAACTTTCTTAAAACCCACGTAAAAAATAATTATCTCTCTCTCTCTCTCTCTCTCTCTTTCATTCTCTCGTTCTTAAATATTACCTTCATCGAGATCGCACGATCTTATAGTGTTTGATCGACCGACACGGCTCAGTAACTTCGATGACTATGATTAAAGAGAATCGAGGAAATCGCTTAGGCTAATGTAATCGTTCGATTGATTATAGTTACCTGTGTCCGATATAGAAAATCTAATTCGCGTATCTAAAAGACAATTTTAAATAATCCATTTGAATACAACATCAATTAAACTCAAATATGATTTGAAAAATATAAACATCGTATGAATGATTTTTCCTCAAGCTAAATTCAATTCACGTAAAACAAATTGTACATTTGAATTCTTTCAATTTTCTTCATTTTAAAAGAATGTAACTAGTTTCTAGTTAATTCCCCACACCCTATTCTCCTCTCATTTTCTTTCAGATCAAAATCAAATTCAAAACTGAACTTAAATTCAATTCACCTCAAACAAATCATACATTTGGATTCTTTCAATTTTCTTCATTTTAAAAGAATGTAACTAGTTTCTAGTTACTTATATTGAAAACTGAAACCTAAATTGATGATTCAAAAAAAAAAAAAAAGAAAAACTGATCATTTATGATAAAATTTGGTAAAGATTTTGAAGTTTATGGTAGAGATTCACCTAAACCAATCATCTTTCAATCCGTGGACTAATTTTCTTGGAAGGAAGATTTCTTCTCTTTAAAGAGAGAAGAAGAGAAGCGGCCCGTTTTTTTTTTATTTGATTATTTTTTTTTTTTAGTTTTCTCTGTCTCTCTGTTACTTCGAGTCGTAAACAAGATTAATGATCCGTGGGAATCGGCAAATCCATTCTCCGAGTAGATGTTGCCCTTCAAGAGAGAATTCGATTATAATGATACCGAGGTTATGCGAATGAATGTTGTGTATAGTAGGTTGGTAGGTATGGTTGTGGATAAGTAGGTGGTACACACCCTATATTCCATTAAGGTTTTCCTTGCACTCATCGACGATTACTTATTTTCCAAACAAAAATTTCTATCATGGAACACTTTTGCGAGATTTAAATTTTCCCGGGCTATAACACACACACAAACACACACATATACACATATGATGATCATCTTATGATCAGAAGACCTAAACCCAAGCATAGAAGAAACACGAGAAGAAAATTGATGAAGATGAAAAAGAATGAAGGAAAGAAAAAAAGATGACGATGATGACGATGAAAATAAAAAAAAAAAGATGAAAGTAGAGGGGAAAAAAAACCCTACCCAAAAAAAAAAAAAAAGAAACTTGGTGTCTTGTGGAACACACCAGTAGCTGGCTGGTTTGGTGTTGGTGTTGGTGTTGGTGGTTGTTCTGGAAACGGTGAATGAATAAATTAAATGCTCGCGCATTAATCAGCCGCGCGTTTCTCGATCTCAGAAATTACCGGTTCTCTCGTTTTGAACATCGAAGTATCAGCAGCTAGGTAGCCAGGCAGTCAGCCAACCAGGCAGCCAGTCAGTCAGGCAGCCGTCGGTCGGTAGCTGTGTTCAGAAGGCCCCCAGGCTCTGTAATTTTCTTGCCGCCCTGTACATGCCCACGTGTTTTCTTCCTTGGACTTTGCGTAAATGTACGAATATAATCATTTCATCTTTCTCTTTCTTTATCTTTATCTTTAACCTTTTTATCTTGCTTGCTTGCTTGCTTGCTTGATGGACAGTAGCTAAAGTTTAAGTAAAGAAATTTGAGCATCTGTATGTTGTAAAAAAAAAAAAAAGAAAATAGGGGGTAGAATATATGAATTAGAATGTTCATTTAAATCACGTTAAACATCTTCCAAAGGTGTTTGCGAATTTACAAATTGTTGTTTTTGCGGTTTTGGTTTGTACCGAAATGATTTGTTTTATTGCGTATTATATGATTCTAGGGAATTATAAGGTAATGGGGAATATTGTTAAAAGGGATAATTAATTTTATTTTTGGAAAGTTGTAGTATGATGTTAAAGTGGTTAGGTGAATTGATTAATAATTTATTTATTTTTTTTTTTTGGCAATGAAATATATTTATTTTATTGTATATTATACTAGGGAATTATAGGGTAATGAAAACATTTCTATTTTTAAAAGGTATAATTAATTTTAATATGAAACTTTAAGAGTGTTATGGGATGTAATTAGGTGAATTGGTTTAACAATAATTTGTTATAATTAATTTTTGTTGTTTCCTTCTTTTCTAACATTGATTAGCAATCTAAATTTTGAAACATTCAACTAACACTAATCAATATATATTTTTATTTTTAAAATTCAAATACCGTAGCACTTGAATATACCAAAAAAAAAATAAGAAAAGGGGTGTAATCAGATGATTCAAATTTTAGTCTAATAAGAAGCACTGATATATTAACGAAATTTTTTTCTTTTTATTTTATTTTATTTTATTTTATTTTATTTTTTTTTTTTTAAGTTTCTTTCTCTCTCGTTCACGTCATCCGTTCTCGGAGTATTATTTTTACACTTTTTTTCTTTCTTTTTTTTTTTTTAAAAGACCAAAGCCCGACCATCAAAACGATCGACTTACACGGCTTTGACCGCCCCCTCCCCTTCCCCTAACTCCCCTGTACTACCACTCTTTCTTTCTCCTTTCTCTCTCTCTCTCTCTGTCTCTCTCTCTCTCTTATTTCTCGTTTGATTCTTTCATCTTTGCCGGCGAAAAAAAGCCTTCGAACGATCCCAGGACGGCCTTCGGACGGTACACATTTCATTTGTCTTGTCAGAAGGGTGCAACACACCGGGTAAACCCCCCAAGGCGCCGACTACTCGTTGGTGTGTGCCACCACCTTTGCGAGAAACCCTCTAAGAAACTACGGAAACTCACAGCTTTTTTACATCTTTTTTTTTTTCTTCTAAGCTTTTTTCTAATTAACGCGATAGAATTGTCTTTTTACAGACGAATTTCGTTTCCTATATTTATAGTATTATATAGTGTTATATAAATATATTATTATATATAATACTATAATACTAATATATACCATATATACTATAATGTTACTAAGTGTTATATATAGAATTATAGTGTTATATAAATATAATATTATATATAATACTATAATACACACTATAATACTAATATATACCATACTATAATGTTACTATGTGTATTATATATAGTATTATAGTGTTATATAAATATAACATTATATATAATACTATAATACTAATATATAGCATACTATAATGTTACTATGTGTATTATATATAGTATTATAGTGTTATATAAATATAATATTATATATAATACTATAATACTATAATAGTAATATATACAATGCTATAATGTTACTATGTGTTACATATAGTATTACAGTATTATATAAATATAATATTATATGTAATACTATAATACTAATATATATATATATAAATACCATACTATAATGTTACAATGTGTATTATATATATAGTGTATTATACTATTATATAAATATAATATAATATATAGCAAACTATAATATATAAATGAAATTTCATTTCTTATTAAATAATATTTTAAATAATTTTTTAAATAATATAATAAATTATTTCTTTTTAAATGAAAAACTACATCATTCGTACTATATTCATGAAGTATACGCATGCGTTGTATTGAAGAATAAATCATATAAACAATTAAAATTATTAGTACGTGGAATTATTAATATGTTTCAATCTTGAAGATTGAAACACACATATTATGATACTTAAATATCATCATTTCAAATTGCAAAAGTTATAAACAAATTTGATGATAATCTACAATATTTTTGTTATATTTTTATGTTTTTTTTTCTTTAATGTTTTACTTCACGTTAATGTATTCCTATTTCTATCTATTTCTTATATTCGCAACTCATTAGATGTAATATACTCGCGTTTCTTCATTGAACCAAAAAAAAAAAAAAAAGAAAAAAGGTATAACGCGTCCCAGATCGATGGTTGGAAATCTTATGTTGAGTTGAGAAAAAATTGCATACCATCAGAAGACTAAACGCCATGGTGAAACTTGTAATTTTAAAGTTGTTCATTCTCTCTTTCGAACATGCTATATTTTACCTATACTATACGTTTAAAACTGAGATATTATGGTGGTGTTGATGGTGATGGTGGTGGAGATGGTGATGGTGATACGAGTCACGATTGAGAACCATCCTTTTTGATTTTCATCCTGTTTACTGTCCTTTCTCTTTACAAATAAAACTACAAATTTACATATCCATTTTTTCTCTTTTTATTTTTATTTTTTTTAATAATAAAAATATTTTACATTTTCTCAAATTTCAAAAAAAAAGAAAAAAAATGTTTGAAGTTTTCATTTTTGTTTCTCTCCCTCTTCCTGTTGCCATCTCCCTCTTTCTTTCTTTCTTTCTTTCTTTCTGTCTCTTTCATCTGAGAATAGAATCTGTGTCGAATTCGCGTTAAACACGGTTGTGTGTCTTTGGCGTCGGGACGTCGAGCGTCGCACGATTAGCAGCCGCACGATGAGAGACAGAGTATCTAACTGAAACATAATCGTTGTTATTTCAATTACGATAAAGATTTTTCTACGATTTTTTTTTTTTTTTTTTTTTTTTATATTATAAATAATATTTTTGGATAATGTTTCTCCATTTCCATAAATAATTTGAAACCAAAAAAAAAAGAAAGAAAAGAATTATAAAAACGTGACTATAATTATTATTGTTTAAATTATAATAATAAAAGATAATCATGACTCTTTGTTAATAAACAAATAATTTGATTATAAAATTGCGATATAAACTATCCTATCTTTCAAGTTGATTGAAACTGCACACAGTGTGGAAAATTTCATTAAAATCGGTTCAATAATTTAGGAGTCCATTGCGGACAAACAACGTGACACCTAATTTATATATATATATATTAACATTAAAGATTTAAAAAAAATGTTTAAATAAAATTCTATACTAAATGTAACAATTTAAAATTACGTAAATAAAATTAATGAGATGATTGGAAAATTTGGATAAATGAAAACTCTAGTAAATTATAATTTATAATAACAATTTATAAAATTAATTTATCATAATGAATAATAATGATTGATAATTAATACTCTATGTATCATTTTTTTTTTTGTTACAATTTATTGTAAAATTTCTTTTTTATTTTCTTTCTATTTGTTCATCGTAATGTTTAGTCAAAACAAGTTCGGGTTCGGATTGCGATAGCGAGCCAGGTATCGCATTGAAAAGGAAACAACGTAGAAGTCGTACAACTTTTACTGCCAATCAATTGGACGAATTGGAACGTGCATTTGAAAGAACTCAATATCCTGATATATATACCAGAGAAGAATTAGCACAAAGAACTAAGTTGACCGAAGCTAGGATTCAAGTTTGGTTTAGCAATAGACGTGCAAGACTTAGAAAACAATTATCATCAAATGCAACTAGTGGATATGTTGGAACTGTAGCTTATCCTGCACCACCTTATGTACTTCATCCACCAACTGCACCACATCCTCATGGTAGTGCTGCTGCAGTACCACCGAGTCATTCGCATCCCCATCCTCATGGTCAACCAATTCCCGACACTGCATTCACTTCCAGTCAGGGTAAGTTTTATATACGATTTGTTACTAATTTATTTATTTATTTATTTATTTATTTATTTATTAGGGTGAATTTCTTTAGTTCGTGCATTTTGTAAAATTAATATTTTGAATGGTAATTTTTATATAAAACAAAAATATATAAACAAATTTAGTATGCAGTTTCAATGTTAAGTTTCAATACAATAAATGCAAGAACTTTTTATATATCATTTATATAAATTTTTAATTTATTTATTTATTAGGGTGAATTAGGTTCGTGTTGGTATTTTAAAATTAATATTTTAAAAGTTAATTTTTATTAAAAAAAAATATATAAACAAATTCAGTATGAAGTTTCAATGTAAAGTTTCAATACAATAAATGCAAGAACTTTTTACATATCATTTCTTGTATTTTTTTAATTAATTAATTTATTAATTTGTTAAGGTGAGTTAGGTTCGTGTTTTATGTATTTTAAAATTAATATTTAAAAACTAAATTTTTATTAAAAAAAAAAAAAAAAGAAGCAACAAATGCAGTATGCAGTTTCAAAGTTTCAATACAATAAATGCACGAACTTTTGAAATTGTTCTAACATTATTTTTAAAATTATTTATAATAAATGTTTATAGTTGAATTGACTTGGTTATATTCGTAAATTCTCATTACCAATCCTATTTCTTTTTCTAATACCAAAAAAAAAAAAAATAAATAAATAATATGAAAACAGAAATACAAGTACACATATACAACACATAAACTTCACATCGCGTTGTTTTAAATTTGAATAAAAAAAAAAAAAAAAAAACACGAATAAGTGCAAAAAGATGTCTTTCGAATTGGTGACGTTCTTCGACCTTGAAAAACATTACGTAGGAATTTCCATGAGTTATAAAGCATAAGAGACAGACAACCGACTGACTCTAACTCGTCTTAAGAATTTCATGTCAACTTCTTATAAATTTAACACGTAGCGATACTAATCGTGCATTCCTTGTATTAAACAAAAAAACAAAAAAATAAATAAATAAAAAAGTAAGAAAAAATGACTCGGGAAAGTAGTCGAAGGACGGCAGGTGGTCCTCACCCAGATAGACTTTTTTTGTGTGCTTCAACATACGAGTTGTGGTCTAACACGATTACCGGAAGTCGTTTGACGATGAACGTCCACTACGGGACATCGAAAGAATCTCAAGCACACGCTAGTCACTCTGTACAGTTCAGCACACACTCAACTTATTTATTTCGCGAATCTTGTGAAAAAAAACTTTTAAGGAAGCTAAGCTTTTCTGTTACACATCACACATCACACACATACACACGAATATTTGCCTTGTCATGTCAGTAAGGGTTGGTAATATCTTTAAGAATTTTGATTGAAAGATCTATTCATTGAACACGTTCATTCCATGCCGCGTGTACCATCGATGGGATACACTTTGAAACATTTTTATTTAATTTGTTGAAAATCAAATGACCTAAACGACAAGTTAGGTGGTTTGTCACGAGACGTGTTGTATTTTTTTTGTTAAATTTCACTTTCTCTATCTCTAAATGAAACATAATCAATAATATATATATATGTATGTATGTGTGTATGTAGTTCCAGAGATTTATTCGGCTCATCACGGCAATAGCATGTCTCATCAATTGGCTGCAGATCCAACGAGACTGTCATCGTCAACTGCAGCGAGTTATGGTTTACCAACACCGGTTACTTATCCAAGTGCATTGCTACCACCAACCACGTCAACATCGACATCTCAAATGAGTCATCAAGTTAATTCAATAACACCAGTGTCAACTGCAACCTATCAACAACAACAACAACAGCAGCAGCAACAATCAGCAGTACAACCACCACCACCACCACCACCATTACCATCAAATCATCAATTATCAACTACTGCAAATTCATTGGTATCAATGATGGCTTCCAATTCGATTAATTCGGTCAATTCTGGTTCCGAAATGTCAACTTCTGAATTATCAATGACTGCTGGATCATCTCCTGTTCATCAACAACAACAGCAGCAACAAGGTGGTCAAGAAAATCCTTCCCCATCTTCTTGGAATTTACCACCCCTTCCATCTACCTCGCGTGTTACTTTATCTAGCCCACCTAGTAGTCTTCAACAAACCCATGCTGCTGCTCATGGTGCTCATCATCCTCATCAAGCATTTGCAAGTCATTATACTACTCAGAGTTTTCAACAACCACCTAGACCAACCCCTCAACCACCTTTTTACACTTGGTATTAAAAAGAAGAAGCAAATGATTAGATGATAACCCCCGTCAACTCTAGGATGTTCAAGACTGTTTAGACAATTGTTTTTCTATCTTCTTTATCTTCATCTTTGTCAGATGTTGGTTTTTTTCTTCTTTTTCTGGAACTGTGCTTACTTTTATGGATATTGTTCCATAATCATTTTAGCAATGGTTATTAATTACTTTAACCTTGAAATTTATGAGAGAAAATTGAATTGCCTTTTTTTTCTCACCGTTTTTTTTTTAACATGTTGAGTGACACGTCAGTCATAAATGACTGACACATTGAACTTTAAATTTAGGCCATGTCAGGCATCGGTGCCTGACGTTCAGCTTTCGTTTTATTGTGCGTGGCTTGACGATGATTTACATGAAAAAAATTCGCGTTGCGTTAATTTCAACCAGCAGTGTTGTTCAATTGTAACATAACGAAACCGCAATCATGTGATTTGTTAGAATAATTTTTAATTTTAATAATCATTAAATAAGTTTCATAAATTCGAATAATTATATTAAGTAGTTTAAATTCGAATTTGTTATAAAAATTAAAAAAAAAAAAAAAGAAAAAAAAAAGATTAATTTGAATTTCAATTCTCTTAATTTATAGTCAAATAATTAATTTTTAATTAATTATTTGCTGTAAATAAAAAAGAACTATATATATATATGTAAAGTTTTTCTTTTTTAATCTTTTTTTCTTTTTTTCTTTTAACATATAATAATATTTAATTTATTTAATTAAGTTAATTAATTTTTGTATTTAAAATGATACAAATTAATTCTTTTTTTTTTTTCTAATTTTTTCTCTTTAACTTCTTTTCTTTTTTTTTTATATTATATGTAAAATAAAGGATTTTTTTTCTTTTTTTCTTTTTTTTTAAATAAAAATAACATTTGCACGAATATCGTTGTATATTGCAATGTGTATATAAAAGATAGTAAATAATAACAAAAGTAAATTAGTATTATATTTTATCACATGATTGATTATAATATATATATATATAGTATTAATAATAATTAATAATAATATAATTATTATTGAATGTAGATGTTAATAAGGAATAATATTTACAGAGCACATACATATATATATTACATGATATTTATATATATATATGTACATGTGAATATATTTGTCATAATTAGTTGCATAATTTTAATATTGTAATATTGACTACAATTATTTAATAATATTTATATTATTTTATTAATGTACAAATTTCTAATTAAACAGAAACGAACAAACAAATAAAAGATAAATAAAAATGTTTTGATTTGTTTGTTTGAAAATTAGAATACTTTTGTTTGTTGTGTTTGTATTACAAAAAAAAATATATTAATTAATTGTGATTTAAAATTATGCAACTGTTACTAATTAATTATATGATAAATTAAGATAATTTTTTAATCAACTTACCTGTATAATTTTTAATCTATTTTCTTCTCTACTTCTTCTTTTTCTTCTTCTTCTTCATCTTCATCTTGAATATAATAATAATAATAATTTTATTATGTTTGATTCAAACTATATTGTTTTTTTTTTCAAAAAAAAGGTTCTAACTTAGAGATGAAAAATATAATTACAGAAAAATAGATTGTAAATGAAATGAAATATATATTACAAAAAAAAAAAAAATTAAAAAAACAAAATAAATAAAAAAAAACAACGAAGAATCAACACCTCCTCCCTCCTCCCCTTTGTTTTAAAACAAAAACAAATAAATAAGAAGGAAAATTGTGGTTATTTTTAGAAAAATTAATTACGCAGCTTTAATCATATTCTTGCTTGAATACAAATGTAAGCAACTACGTAAGAAAAGATGTATATAGTTATACAGTATATATATATATATATATATATACATATATGTGTATATATATATATATACTTCTTGAGAAAAAAAAAAAAAAGGTATATCCTTTGATATATTGTAATTTTCAAATCTTATTAATGAGCTTACCTAAAAGGATTATATTTTAATCTCTTTCGCACTCTCTCACTCTCACTCTCTCTCTCTCTTTCTCTCTCTCTCACTTTCTCTCTCTTTCATACCTAATTTAATGAAAATTTGTTCTTAAATGTTACCTCGTTGTTTCTCTCACGTTTTCTCTCATGTTTTATCAATTTGTTTTACTTAATCATTATCATTATCATTATTATCATTATTATTATTATTATTATTATTATTATTATTAATTTATTATTATTATTAATTAATTAATTATCGAATTGTTCGGAAAATAATTTAGTTTTCTTTCTTTTCTTTTTTCTCATAGCGATTTATATAATATTATATAAATTAAAAATATAATATAAATAAACTTAACATTATTAATATATAAATTAACTTTATATTATTTATATATATATTAATTTATTTTATGTTTATTTTTATTTTTATTTTCATTTTTGTTTGCCACAGCATATCACAAATTAGAAAGTAGAAAAAAAAAAAAATCAAAGAATCAAAATCCTTGGTCAAAACTGTTCATAGAAATGTTGTTCTGAGTATCTGGGTATTTTCTTTTATTCCTTTTGTGTTTTTTGATGGAACAGATAAATCACGTTTAGGTCTGAAGGGATTTGAAAGGACACAATAAGCCCTTGAAAAGCATTGATTTAAAATTCTAGTCTTAGAACAAAAATACAAAATTTAAATTAGAAATGTAATTCATCAAAATTTAACCTCGTTTACATCTTGACAAAATTTTCAATAAAAATTCAATATGATTATTTAAAATAAAATACAAATTACTTAATTATTTTCCGAACAAGCTAATATATATATATATATATTTTTATTTATTTAATTTTTATCACTTTCATAAGCGCTATTATTAGGAGGCAGGAGCTCATAGGCAGCGGAATGAACGATGAACGTGCTTAAAAGCACTAAATTAAAATAAAAAACAATAAAAACCATAAAGAAAAATGAATATATATATATATTGGGATCTCTAGCACTTGAATACGCTATCTGGCGGCTAAATTCAAAATTAGAATAGATAGGTCGAATTGCTACGCCACGTCACGTGGGATCTCTAGCACTTAATTGCTCTATCTGGCGGCTAAATTCAAAATTAGAATAGATAGGTCGAATTGCTACAACGTCACGTGGGATCTCTAGCACTTGATTGCTCTATCTGGTAGCTAAATTCAAAATTAGGGTAGATAGGTTGAATTGCTACGCCACGTCACGTGGGATCTCTAGCACTTGAATACCGCTATCTGGTAGCTAAATTCAAAATTAGAATAGATAGGTCGAATTGCTACGCCACGTCACGTGGGATCTCTAGCACTTAATTGCTCTATCTGGTGGCTAAATTCAAAATTAGAGTAGATAGGTCGAATCTCTGACAGAGATCCCAATATTTTCTGTTTTCTTTTCTAAGTTCGTAATGATTGGAAAAAGGGTTTAGAAAGAAAGGTTTTTTGTTTGTTTGTTTGTTTTTTTCTTTCTCTGTGTGTGTAATCAATCACACGAACACGCGTATATGAGCATAGTTGTGAAAATATGTGTAATAATAATAATAAACATATTTTATGTAATATATATATATATATATGAAAATTTGTGAATAATACACAAACAACGGCTTTATTGTGAAAGCACCGAAACATTCGGTTTTTTTTTTTTTTTTTTTTTTTTTTTTTACTATCATTTAAGCATTTTTCAATATTACACAATTGTTGTTTAACTTCATTCATTTGCCTATTCTGGTTTTTTTTTTTTTTTTTTTTCAATAACAAGACGATAAAACTGGTCTTCAATTTATTAAACCTTTTTTCTCATACGTTTTTCTCATCGTTTGAAAAAGAAATGTTTCATTATTTTGAAACTGTAGATTAAGGAAAAAGAGAAAGAAAGAGAGAGAGAGAGAGAGAGAGAAATAAAGAGAAAAAGAGAAAGACAGAGAAACAGACAGACAGAGAGAGAGAGAGAGAGAGAGAGAGAGAGGTAAGCGTTCGGTTTTTTTTTTTAATTAATGAAAAAAAAAACGAAACGCATCGTTTTTTTTTATTTCTATTTGATTAAAAAGAACAAAATTTTCTTTCAATTTTATCTTCACGTTCGTTCTTCCATACATTTGAAATAAAACTAAAAAAAAAATAAAAATAAAAAAAAAAATAAAATAAAATACATCAACAAATACATCGTAATTTGACCATAAGTGATGGAATATGAAATTGTTGTAGATGACACTGCGGTAAAATAACAAAAAATCTGACAAAAATTTCTCATTAATGTTCATAAAAAAAAAGAATAAAAAAAAAAAAGATAGGAAACAATTAGAACATAAGAAAAATTATTGAAAAATTTTTGCGTAAGTATTAATTAATTATTAAATTAATTTCTAATATAATCTACTATATATATACTAAACTGCATTAAATTTAAAGTAATTTGAAAGTAACTGTGCATTTCCACGTGTGTGTGTGTGTGTGCTTCATGTTTCAATATTTGTAATATTTGTTAGTGTAATACTAACCTTTCACGTATATGAAACAAACGTGGTCTTTTTTTTTTTATAATCAAAAGTAAAATAATTATTTCGTTTAAAATAAAAAATTATAACTCGGTAATAAATTTTTTATAATTAAAAAATGTTAAATCTTTCGCGACTGCTAGATGATTGATATTTTTTTGTTGTTGCTTTGTATACTTGTGTTTGTTTTTTTTTTTTTTTAATGTTATAATAATCATTGGACCATAATTGTCGATTAATTTTTTGTTCTTTTTTTTTTTCAATTACAAATGACTATAACGCGATAATATATATATACGTATTATATATATATGTATATGTATATATGTATATGTATAAACTTAGCTGGAATTCGCATTTTTGTGTATCGAT